ATCAAAACTCAAAAGATTCTAATAAAATTAGTCATCTGGTGATTGATTATGACTTTCGCCATCAGACGACATTGTCATGACATCTTCAAGTTTTTTGTCCTCTGATTGCTTTTCTTCTATGCCTTGATTTCTTCGATCTGATCTAACCCAATCTTTGAAACATACTAGCATTTCCAATGTCGGCCCAACCAATGCCACGGTTGAAACTGGAATATTTAGCAAATCCCGAGCCATTTTAGAAAGAACGGGAAATTCTTTTGAGTTGTCTTTCCACCATTGCAAAATGTCAATATTAGAATATCTATCTTCTGTACCCAGCTTCAAATAAAAATCAAGCTCATTAAAATCGATTCGAGATTGACGTTGTAGGGCGACAAATTCATCCCAAACAGTACAACTTCTAAAGCTTGTTGTACCACCCATTTTTTGTGAAGAGTTAGTAGAATCAGAGGTAGGAATATTTGGTGTAACACTATATATTAATTTATGATAATAATCATATAATGCAGAAATGTTTGAAAATATACTAGATTTAGCAGTTTCCAAATCTGGATTTTCTCCCTCAGCAATTTCTAAATGTTCATATAATACTCTTGTTAATTCTACTGCATAAAATAATTTAATACAAGGATTTAATATAGCACCAATTTGGAAAATAACTGGAATGGGAAAAAAATATTTTTTAATTTTTTCCTTCATCGCAATAATAACGTCTCCATAAATTTCATTATCCTTAAATTTAAAGAGTAAATAAGCAATTTCAGCTATATAAAGAAAAATATTATTAACACTAGGGCAACAACTACCACCAAAATTTAGAGTAGCTTGATAAAATTTTGATAATAATCTAACAATATCGTTAACAACTTCCCAATCTGAATCAATTAAAAAATTAGCAGAATTTTCAATACAATTATTATATGTAGCAGATATAGGCTCTCTATATTTGTATGCAATTTTTAACATGATATAAAAAGAATCCCACATTGTGACAATTTCTAAAGGTATTGTTCTTGGTCTAGGATTATAATCTTTGCATTTTCTCCTAAATTCCCCAATTCTAGTTGTTGAATTACTTTGAAAAATAAATGCAATTGTACCTCTAATTTTAATAATATAAGAATAAAAAAAATTAAGGCTATCACGCACAATTAAATTAAAAATATCACATACGCATCTAACATGAAAATTTTCATTTAAAGGTGGTACAGATTGTATTTTTAAAGTTGAAATAGTAGAAACATTATTATTAAACGAAATACACATAATTTTGTTATTAAGACCATATAGCGTTAAAACATCCTCAATAGATGCATCAATAGAAGAACCATTGTGTTTATTTTCAATATAGCAATAAGCTATAATACGTTTTTGCATCACCCAATCAGAATTTATCCAATAACATTTATTGTTACATAATCTAAGTGGTGAACATCACGACTAATATTAAATGTAAGAGAAACTCTACAATTAAGTTTCGAAAATAAAGAGCATAAATATTGTTGATATTCTCTATAAAATTTCAGAACATTATTTCTACAAATAGCTCTAGGAATACCAGTAAAACAAGGATTATTATCTACTCTATTAATACATGTAGCAAAATCTTTAGAAAAAGTAAAGTTAAAAGGTAAACAATCACTAGCTATCGGTTTTGTTATTTTTTCCCGATTTATCTTCTCACCGTAATTAAATAATTTTTCAAATGGGTTAATTATTTGTTTTTTACTAGTAGCCTCAAATTTCATTTTCCATTGTGAATGTTTTTCATTATTATATTGTGAAGAATCATCTTCAGAATCATGAGAAGATTGTTGATTAACAGAACTAATACTACTAACTGGTTTTTTACCTTTATTCTTACCCTTTCCCTTGCTTAATATACGTTTATTTGAAGCCATAATCCAAATAAAATAACAAAAACTAAAAATTCAAAGATAATGAAATAAATATGAGAGTTAAAATACAAAAGTAGTAACAGTAAGAGTTGGAACGAATATACCAAAACGCCGTATCGAAAACAGAAAAAAATATAACCATAAATTGTTAAAGCTCGCTCTTGCTAATTTCAAACGCCAAAAAATAATTGAGAAATTTGATCGTGAGACGAAAGAATAATAATAATCGACAGCTCTGAATATTGTTGAATCTTAATAACTACAGTTTAAGAGTAGAGAGAATGAGAGATTGTAGTGAGGAAAAAAATAGAGTTAAGAGGTATTTATAGTTGGAATTTGGAGCTAAAATGTAATATTTCAGAGTAGGTGGTGAAAAAAAAAGAAACCGTTTTGGGCCGTTGCCCAACGGCTAGTAGGCCTGAAAAGAAAAAATTTGGTGGGTTATTGTGCCGGGCCTGACGGGCTGTTAGTGGGCTGGGCCGGTCCCGGTCCCGGTCCCGTTCCCGGGCTGGGGATAAAATTGGAAATTAACAACTTAGGGTTTTATTAGTAACCCCATTTATACATTACTGCTTCTGTCTTTCTCTCGTCTTTGGCAGCAGCAGCACAGCAACAACAAACCCTAACCCGAAGACCCAATCATGGTGATTTTTTCTCATTTTTTTTTACATTATTAGATCTACTTATATATACTTTACTCTTTTAATTGTGTGCTCTTTAGTTTTAATTTATTGCACAAATAGTAAAATTGGGTGTTTTGATTACTAAATATCTTGTTTTGCTAGTCGGGAGATTATTTGAGGTAAGTGTTGATTGAGGCTTAGGAATGAAAATGATAAATTATTAGGTTTAATTTGATTAGAAGTTTTCCTTTTGTCTGTTTTGGGTTTGTTCAAGCATTTTTGTATGATAACAAGGATGGACATTATTGTGGAAGGTAGTTAGTTTTGGAAATAATAATTTTTTGGGATTTTCTGTGAATAAAAAGGCAATTTTGAGGCCCTAGGTTTTGGTATAGTCGTAAGAGCCCAGGTTATGATGTGTTGTTAGGTGCACGTTAAGTGGTGAAAGGGTAGAAGGACGGGTGCGTTATCAATTAAGTTTTGAACAGTGTGCAACTGTCCCTCAGTGATTTTTCGGTTATGAAAAGAAAGCCAATCTTGAGCCTCCAGGGCTTTGGTCTACTGGTGAAAGTGCAGGTTGTGATGTATAGTTTGGTGCACGTTAAGTGGTGAAGGGTAGAAGGATGGGTGCGTTATCAATTAAGTTTTGAACAGTGCGCCACTGGACCTTGATGATTTTTCGGTTATGAAAAGAAATCCAATTGTGTTCTTGATGTGGAGTTATTAAAGTTTGCAATTGGTACATAAATGTTAATTTTAACCCTCTTTCAGTTTCTGCTGACGTAACTGAATTGCTTCCAGGATTATTTGTTTGAACCCCATCGAGCAAAGCGACTGTTCTTTTCTTGACTCTACTCTTCATTATGTGTACATTAGTTAGAAACACTTGATATATGTTGTGCAATTGGGGGAATATTGATGAAGTGACTTATCTTCTACTAGTTCGTAAAAGACCTGCAGTTTGATTTTATCTTAAAATTGATGATTCGGGTTCCTTGTTTTCTTTTTCGTTGCTTGTATTTCATGTTCAATTGTTCATTACCATTTAATTTGTTGAGATTGGGCATTGGAACTTGTTTAAGACTACTTTGTGCATTTTTTAAATCCTTGTATTTAGAGATTGAACATTTTAACTGAATAATTTTTTCAGCCGAAGCAAATCCACGAAATCAAGGATTTCCTTCTCACAGCAAGAAGGAAGGATGCACGATCTGTCAAGATCAAGAAGAATAAGGATATGGTCAAATTCAAGGTTCGCTGCTCCAAGTACCTCTACACTCTCTGTGTGTCCGACTTTGAGAAGGCCGACAAGTTGAAGCAGTCACTTCCTCCAGGTATAGACATGTCTTTCGGTGCTTACGTTTTTTACTTACCTTCCTCCATTTGGCAAGTTTATCTGCTCGATTGTTAATGAGTTCGCATAGTTCAGTAGATCAATTATCTAAGTAAGCAGTTCATGAATCTAATGGTTTGAATACATTTTGATTTGTAGGTTTGAGCGTGCAAGATCTTTGAAGATGAAGGGATTAATGTTTTTTTTCCCTTAGACTGTGAGTAGGTACTGGAGAATTTTAAGAACTTGTTGTTCCTTTACTATTTCTTGTCCTGTTGAAGTCTAAAGTTTTGATCAAGTTTAGATATTGCACTGCTTTTTCTCTTGTCCGTTTTGACTTTATTGTGAGCTCTTATATGGTGTTAACAGAATTTTGATGGTAGGATGCCAAATTTGGTTTATTTGGCTTATCTCAATTTCCTTTGATTAGTACTAATATCCTTAAATTATCAAATACAAGGAATGTCAGCTTTTCTTCTTTCAAAACAATAGGTAAGTTGGATCTTATACCAAATCACGTCCTTTTTATAACAGTCAAGAATGTTAAAATTGTCTAATACTTGAACGAAATAATGATCTCATGTCGAATGAAAATTTGAGATTTTATGAGGTTTCTTAGAAGTGCCTCTAGCCTAGCTCATTTTATCAAAATCTCAATTCCATTTTTGTTAAATACCATTCAATGATAGTTTCATATTCTGTATTTCATAATGCACTTCAACAATAATAAAGCTAGTGTAATCCTATAAGTGGGGTTTGAGGAGAGTGATGTGTACGCGGACCTTGCCCCTACCTGATAAAGGTAGATAGATTGTTTCCGATAGACCCTTGGCTCAAGGAATACTGAAAGTAAACATTTGCTGCTACAATGTAATAGAGTAGCGAAAGACATAACAATGTAATAGAGTAGCGAAAGACATAACATGTAATAATAAAGAACCAACAATAAGAAAATACAAAAATAATACTAGTACGTCAAGTAAGGGTTTATTCTTTATACATCTCAATCCGGATAAGAACATTAATCCACTGCAAGTTACCTCTCTTTGTTTTCACCATATAATTGATTGATATGATAACATAAAAAAGCAGCCCGGTGCACTAAGCTCTTGCTATGCGCGGGGTTTGGAGAAGGGACAAATCGACTTACCAATAATAGGTAGATTCAATATATTGATAAGTGCTTGAGCTATGAAAATGAAGACACACAGCAAGTTCTTCATCAAATTCCTCGAGAATGCCCTTATCTTGGCCCCTATCAAAATCACAGAGCATATGAAATGACTTATCTGCCAAATTGTAACGTAAAATGGCCAGTTCTGGAATATGCAAAACCAAGAAAGTATCCTCCTCTTTCTCTCCCCTTACAACATTAACCACAGCCATTGCATAGTAATGAAAATCTGTTGGCTCAAGATAACGTCGAATCATCCTAGGATATCCTGACACAACATCTTCAACATTCACCTCGTATTTCAAGAACCACTCAGTACCATCATTTTTCTTCTCGTAAATATTGTACAAAGTTAGTTTCTGGCGATTCACTTGTATTAAGTGCAAATAGCCATAAGACTCTCCAAAATAGATAATCCTATGATCCTCTTTATCCCACTCTTGTCCATCAAAGCAATTAGGCATGGGAAAAATTTCAAACTTTTCTTGTTCCAAATTGAAACGCTTGATATATGACACATAAATGGCTCCATTCCAGTAAACTAGTCCATGTCTAAAACTTATATCGTAACGTTTAGGGAATGATGGACCAGAGACTCTCCACTTCTTTGATTCGGATGAGTAAATCTCAATCTGGTCGTTCTCAGGTTCCAGTTCAGAAATTCGGAGACAGATGACTTTGTAATGAGGCGATTTCCACGGATCAAAGGCTAAACTCATCCCTATTACATCCCCTCCTGGTCTAGGAAGTGTGATGAATTGTCGAGTAGTCGGGTTGAATATGTAGTAGTCCTCATTAAATGTAAATGGATTATGTTTTGTACAACAAAGCAAAAGTCCATTGCAAGATTGCATAATAAAGATTTTAGGAGAGTCATGTTGTGCAAAAGGGAACTTTAGGAATGGTGTTGGAATTGGATTTTCTAAGTTAAAAGACACAAATTTGTGAAAAGGGTTGGTGAAAAATGAAGAATGGTACAAGAAAATGCCACGAGCAGGGCTGAAATAGGGGATTCTGAGGCGTGTGAAGTGTGGACTAGAGATTAAAGATCGCCATTTTTTCGATATGCATTTGCATTGAACGAGTGATTTTACAGGCAGACGAAGGAGGATCTCTGTCAATAGTCCTTCATTTGAGAACACTACATTTGCAGAAAATATGGAACGACTAGTTATTGTCTTCTTTCTGCTATGTGGCATTTTGATTATGTGTAGAATTTTGGAATAGGGCAGTCTGGTGCACAAAGTATCTTGTATTCACACAAGGTCCGGGAAAGGGCCGTATGCCAAGGACGTGTAATATAGACAACTATCAGTAAATAATTTCACGGCCCGAACTCGTGACCTATAGATCACACAGAAACAACTTGACCATTGCTCCAAGTCTCTCCTTCTACGTAGAATTTTGGAATATGAAGAGGAATAAGGAGTGTTTGTCTAAAGAAAGTTTCTTAGATTGAAGCCTTTATGGATTTGAAATGGCCAGTTTAAAGTTGGTTTTGCAAACATTGAGCTTGCAGAGAACGTTTCCTTTGACATTTTTTTATTTTGTTTGGTTGTTGGATACTAATTTGATTCCTCAAACGCAATTTAATATGCAACCAAAAAGTCAACGCAATGGTTTTCTACACATGCTTATAAGTTGAGGAGTTAGATTTAGCTAGTACATTTTTAAACTTTAGTTTAATACTTCTCACGCCTCTCTGCCCGTATATCTCACCTTCCCCAGACCTCACTTATGAGAATACACTGGATTGTTGTTATTGTTGTTGTTGTAGTTTAATACTTCTCAATTACAATGTAAGTGCTGTGGCAATATTGAGAGAATTAGCAAGCCTCATTATAGAACCATGTATCAAACAAGGTCTCATATTATTAAAAAAACGAGAGGATACAAAGAGTTAAAAGTAGATATGGACTGCTTATTCGTTGTCATTATTGAAGATCGGGGCAGATCCGAGATTTGAAGTTTATGAGTGTTTATAATGACCTCAAGTTATATATGTAATAATAACTAGTTCCCAGTCAAATATTTATAGATATTTATTAAATTTTTTAATACAAGTATGGAGTTTGAGCAAAAAATACTGGGTTCAGAAAAGCTCATAACATTAAAGCTGGATCCGCTCCTGATTGAAGATTGCAAATATTTGTTGGAGGTAAACAAATCCTACTATATATATATGTTGAAAGAATTAAATAAATGTCCAGCTTTTTGACGATAACAGGTTACAAACATAAAGAATAATTGTTAATCTATAAAATACCATCAAGGAAATGAAGTTTATTCTCCAGGCATTCGTCTATTATTGTGCCATTTTTGTGCTTAATACTAGGGGTCATTTAGTAGAATGTATTAGGAAAAATAATACATATATTAACTTTTATATATAAGAGATATGAAATATGAAATACAGGATACGAAATACGAACTACGAAATATATGGCTGGTATAGTACAACTAGAAGGTAAAGCCCCGCATCAATAGACGACCAATGACATTCCTAGTCTAACTCTTAACTGGATAGTCTCCCTCTATTGTGCTGTAGAAATATTCACACTCTCTCCTAACCTACAACCTTAATGCTCGACCTCCATAATTCCCTATCAAGGGCCATGTCCTCCGTAATCCTAAGTCGCGCCATGTCCTGTCTGATCACCTCTCCCCAATACTTCTTAGGTCTTCCTCTACCTCTCCGCGTGCCCCCTACAGCCAGTCGCTCGCACCTCCTCACCGGTGCATCAGTGCTCCTCCTCTGAATGTGCCCGAACCA